AATCACCGAGCCCACCGGTGGTTAGCCACCATCATCAACAGGTCGAGAATATCACCTGCAACAAGGTGGGATAAACCCTGAGTACTCGAATGTACTCAGCCAGACTTACCCGTCGGAAACCAAAACAAATGACACCAAGGATCATGCAAGGCTTTCTTTAGTGGGCTAGCTGACTTGTTTGCGAAAAGCATAAGCTATCATGAAGAAACCATTTTAAGTACTTTGCATCATCTTTATTATGACCTATCCATCTAGGTAAGCACCTGTACTATAGCAATCACTTGATTAATCAATAACATCCAGTTACCAATTTAGATTTAGCATATCCCATACCATCCAGATAACCATCATTGTTCCATAATAATTACTACGATGCAGTAACTCGAGTCAAGTGCTCACTATCCAGGAGCGATGGCGATTCGAATCGATTCCTAACCAGCTGGTGATTTATTCCTTACACAAACCTCACTCACCCGCTAAAGTGAGATATTGATCACCGAGTCAACTATCCAGGAATCTCGAGTTTGCCAGAACCACATGTACCGGGGCCGACCGGCGCACTTTGGTCTTATCATCTCGCCCCGTGTCCTACCACACTGCTCCGCGACGCGGTCTTGCTGCATGGGCAATCTACTCGGCTCGAATAATCTCCGGAATAATCTCCCGGCTTCACGGTCGGAAGGTACTTTATCCGCCAGCTAAATGTAAGGCATGCGTTCAACATGACTCGAGGCCCAACAACGAACGGTACTTAATCGACACTGACGGAAACTACTAAAGACCCCGTAACCCCGTCCAGTTGCCTCCAACTTTTCCGTCCGGTCTCCAATTATCCATCACACATGGTTAATTCCAGGATATCATTCTTTCCATAGCTAAATTCTTCCAGTAACCACCTATAAATGTAGGTGACCGGACATCACCGATCGCTACCGGTGTAAGCAAGGCTAAGCAGTTATTCGATCCTGACCTAACAGGGTAAAAAGGTAATAAGGTAGGCAAGGATAGTAATAAATGCATCAACGGTTTCAATCAACTCCTACAACTTAATGCAACAATATATAACTCATATATAGAAAGAATTGCTTTTATAAATTAGGAGACTTATTAATGCTTCGAGGCTTGCCTAGAGATCCAACACAAGTCAGTTCAGTTAGCTTGCACCATCCTGGTGACATCTCAGATCCTAGCACTCGCTTAGTCCTTCCATCTTCGGGATAGATCCATCAAACACTGTCTTCGGGTTTGGCTCCAACATCTCATCCTTCACGTGGTGCATCTAGCGTACCTAAATGAGATGCAATATGCAAGTGCATAAATATGAAGAATAGTACCATGAGACGCATCACAGAATAGCAAACAAGACAAGCATAGTTTACACTAACACACTTAAGTACTTCGCGATGCTTAACTTAAACATCACACAATCTATCATGCTAAGATGGCAAAGGAGACGACAACACCAAGCATGACACAAGTTTTCCTAAGATCTCAGGTGCCCTAACTCAGTCATCATTCAAAGCATACGTCACACTTAACAATATACAAGCAAACACTATAATTGGAATCTGCCAATTTCTAGACATGCAAGCAGCAGCTACAAGATTTAGCTATAACTGGAGTTACACAAATCCAAATGACTTGGAAGAAGACATTATGGAAAGCTTATGAAATTTTGTACAATTCATATTTAATCATCTTAGCATGATTCTCAAGGTAACTAAGTCAAATATACCCATTTACAGAAACTGGTCCACAATTGACAGAAAGCAGTCATTTCTGAAACCCAACTTTAAACAGCTATAAATAGAGTTATACATGTCCAATAAATGTGATTCTAGACTTTTTAGAAAGCTTAGAAAATTCTAAACAACTTTGTTGTAAACACCTAAAGCTAATTATACTATTAAGCAGGCCCCACAATAAGAACAAGGAAACCCTCTCTGGGTTTGAGCAGAAACAGCCACAGAGATTGAAGCAAGTATAACTCAAGATCTACATACCCAAAAATCATGATATTTAACTTTTTGGAAAGCTTAAGAAAAGTACTACAACTCATGTATTTTCACCAAGTCATGATTCATAACTTAACTGAGCCAATTAATTCAAACATGCAGAACTATTCAGAGTAGAAGCAAAGCAATACATGGCATTTGTTATTTTTATAATTCTTAAACTATACATCCTAAACTCCTGAAATTTTTACCAGACAACAACAATCACCTTAGTAGCACTCCACAAAAATTTCACATTTATTTGAGCATAAAAACTGTAGTTATGAAAAAGACAATTAAGACTAGCATTCAAACCCTAACCTGCATAAATCTATTTTTACGGTAGAAACTTTAAACTCAAGAATGCCATATTATAGATCTAATGCATAGACAATTTCACAAGGATTCCAAAAAGTACTCATTTACTATTTTACATTATTTCTACTAATTACTATGAATTTTCAAACTTAATCATCCAAATCTACCAAAATCAAAAGAAAAGGAATATAAATCTTGCATCGGGGTCCCTGCAGAAAATGCAAATTAAATCCAAACAAACATATCCTTTATGGCACTATTCATATGAGTCACGGATTCGCACATAGGTCCTCCATCTTCTTCTAATTCCTGTCCACGGTCCTTCGCTCTTCTTCTACACGGGAATGGAGCAGCGCACAGCTCGGGCCAGCGGGGAAGCGGCCGGCGGCGGAAAGGAGGGCCCACGCTAGGGATGGACGTGGCCAAACAGACGTGAGAAGAACGCTCCTCTAGAGCAGAGCATCGGCAACAGCAAGGAGATCACCACTGCAGCGCCGGAGTCGAACAAGTGACAGGAGAACAGAAACATCTTGGACTTGGAGATCTCTTAAGGCAATCTACTAGGAAGAAGCGAATGATGGCAGTGCAGTGGAAGCCGCGTCAGGCGAATGGGAGAGGGCGAGCGCACCGTGGCGAGATGGCACGGTGACCGGCTGCGGCCCTGCTGTGGCTAGCAGCGGTGGCCGGAGCAGCTGGAGGAATGAGGAGGAGAGGAGCAGGGTGACGGCAACAGGATGGGGAAAGGAGAGGGAGAGAGTGAGAGGGCAGGGTGCCGGTACTTTACATGTGCACGGCAAGGTGGTAAGCTGGCGATGGTGGGCTTCAGTTGCTACTGGTGCATCTCCTACTACAGAGGGTTGGAATCTCCTACTACAGTTGCAATGGCGGGTTTATTTTGGGATATCTAAGACCTAATTTCTGTAGATCTTGAGTATTAATGTGCACTAGGTATTAGGCATGTTATTAGTTTTGTTAACTACATGTGTGCATTTGTGTGGTTCCTCTCTTATTGTTGAATTATATTCAACCTGTGCACTTCTCTGTATTTTTGAATGACTATGCATATGATGTAACACATGAGCCAGGTGGGGAGGGAAGGAGGCAGGGGGCCTAAGCTAAGAATAGAATAGGCGGGAGAAGAGATGACAAACACAACAGATTCTGTTATCTGTTGGTGCAGTCGGTTTGGTGCTGCTTGGTTCTTTTGCCAGCCCAAGCTACCAAGCCTAGAATTGCCCAGCCATGCTATGCAAGGCATAGCGATAATAACATGTAGTTTTTGGTTCCTCTCAGACTGGCTGTTAGAACATTCTGAACATCTACCCAGTTCTGATCCAGTGCCTGAAACTCGTGCTGCAATGGCTAAACAATTCCATGCTGCTTCCTTGGTCTGCATTGCATGCAAGTGCTGACCAAATGTGCATATATACAAGTTCATGCAACCACTGCCTCACTAACATTCCATGCTAGCTAGGCTAAACAATGAATGTGCCTCTTGCCTGTACATGTTTTATGTACAGCAAAAAGCTATTGTGAAACAGCAGCCACAAAAAGCTGAAGTGAACACACCTTTGTTTCATTTGTTGAAATGGTTGTTGAAATTTTTTATTTGCAAAATAAGGATAAAGATTAAGTGTGCTCACTATTGGATTGCCTTTTTGGTTTTATTTCATAAGTCTGACACAGAGTGTTCTCTAAAAATGGTTCTCAACCTATGTACCGTATATATTCAGACTTTATTTGTTCGTTACCATAAGACACCCGCAATGCACATCATAATTGCTTTCTTTTTCATACATAAATGCCTTGTGCATCATACTAAATTGCAAGTTTTTATTCCCACGTACCTGGCCTAGCTTTAACTTGTCCCTCCAATTTATTTCATTGTCGGGGTGTGTTACCCACTTGTGTGTTAATAGCTTTCGTATATTGGGAATATCTTTCTCCTTGAAGTTGTATATTGTACGGCCATGCCAGTGCTCAGCATGCATGAGCACATGAAATCCACAATCATAGCTGCAATAACACAATGTGCAACACTTATTAGATTTAGCCAATGTATAGAATCTGCAGCATAAGAACCGGTTTTAATTTTCAACTTATTCGATTGTTTTGGCACACCAATGTCCACAGCCTCGTAGTTTTCTATGTCTTTTTTAGAGTTTGGGTAGTGTTTCCTCCATAGAGTTTTAATGCCCTCCATGATGGTGTTGTAGCTTTTTCTTAGCCTTTCGTATCCCAAACTCCTCATCGAGTCCATTACCTCAAATCTTTTTCCCCTTAGTTTTAGAACCAGCAAGTAGTAGTGTCCTGCTGTGTCTGATCCATTGTTTCCCATAGCCTCAAGCACAGGGAACATTACCTGTGTTGTTTTTGTTCACATCGCAAGTAACACAACAAATCTGAATATTTTGAATTTTAGGAAAACATTCATATGTGAACACACCATCTGACGATGGTTGAGGTTGTTATCAGCACGCCTTAATACGCGAGTCACCTGATTCCTATCAAACTAGCCCGATTGGTTGCACCATCTGCCAAAAAAATTATCCCATTCTCAGTATTATTCCAAGTGCACAACTTGTAATACTCCAAGTGCATTGATCTATTTTTTTGATCCACTTTATATTACCTTCCACCGTTAACATTGTCTTTAATTATCACATTTTTTTCATTGTATGCAGGAAAATGGCTAGAGGACTTCGACAGCAGCAACACGCATCTTCTTCCAATCAGGTATGTCCATACTTTCTATTTTGTAATAATAATATATGATGTATCTTTTCTGGCACATATGTGTGTCCCGTATAGCATTTTTGTGTGTCACATGTAGCATTTTTCTATATTTTCTTAAGCATTTTACATTTGACTACTGTTTAGGGTACAAGGAATGTTCAGGGTACAAGGAAGCGAGCTTCCCCTTCTCGGCTTGTTAAGCTGTACAAGAAAATGATTGAATCTCAACGCAATAGGATAAAGGCAATCGGGTTTGGAGGCCTACTGAATATAAAATGTGATACACTACTAGCATGGTTGGCAAATTGGCTAATGGTGGATTGTTTCGATGCCGAGTCTTTGCAGCTGGTGCTTCCTGGAAGAGGTGTAATTAAAGTCATAGATGAAGCTATGCAGTCTATCATGGACTTACCAAACAATGGTGATGAAGTAAAATGTGAGCTTGATGTCAATGCAATAGACTTCATTCAGGCCAAGTATAAAATTGCTCGAGGAAAAGCACCTAGGATTGGGGCAATAGTGAAAAGAGTGTAGTCCACCACGAGTGCTAGTGATGATTTTCTAAGGTCTTGGCTGATGCTTGCTGTTTCAACATTCTTGTTCCCCCTACCAGCTTGGGAATCAATCCTAGATGCTACCCATCAATCATGGACCTTTCTCATGTTAAAGACCTCAATTGGTGTCAGTTTGTGGTTGACCAGCTGAAGAAATCAGCTTCAAAAATGGGAAAAATGAGTTCTATTAGGGCCTTAGGGGTTGCGTTCTTTTCTTAGTTGTAAGTTCATTTCTTCTTCTTCTACCAATGTCTACTTTTTCTATTTTGCCTTTTTTATATTTGATGATACCATTTTCTTTTGTACATGTGCTTCTTTTTAGATCCTATATGTAGACTCTTTGCTGGTTGAAAATGTTGACATCCTAGTGACGACGCCTAGGATTGCAGCATGGTGAAGGAGCTTGGTAGATCAGGTAGTTAAGTTAGACACCAACGGTGACGGCACCTTTGGAAAGCTCAAGGTATGGATTATAACGGTTGTGCATTTTTTTTCTTTTTCTTATTACAAAAAATAACCCATGTTCCTAATCTACTCTTATTCTTTCTCTTTTAATTTATTCAGCTTAAAAGTTCTGCCCATACAGTTGTACAATCTTCATTGTTCCAGTTAGATGATGTGCACATATTCGTGTCTTCAAAGGTGTCATCGAACATGTCCGATGAGGTCTGTCCATAAATCTGATGTAGTATTTTTAAATGATTTGTTCGCCAATTACACTGTTTGTGCTAGGCAAATATAATATAGTAGTATAGTGATCATTAATCTGCTATTTATAATCATCTTTCATCCTATGCTTTTCTTGTTCATTAATCTTTGTATCCACATTTAAAATTCAGTCCAAGCTTTCTTGCCGTTTCCTCGCATTTGTTTAACGATCATGACATTGTTTTCACTTGCAGAAAAGGAGGAAACTAACTACTGCTGTGAGTGAGTTTTGTGCTGGTTTTACCAACCTTATGGGTACTTTCTTAGAAAAAAGTATCCAAAATCAAAGAACCATCTTCCACAACCAGTTCTCATGGAGATGGTGCTGCATCTGAATGCCAACCACCACGTGTAGAACAAAGGCATACCAGGTCTATGCAAATAAGACAAGCACCTAAGGATGATCAGTTGCCTGATGAAGAAGATGAAGATGATGGCACTAATGATGATAAAGATGAAAGTGATGATGATGAAGAAGATGATGAAGAAGATGATGGCACTGATGATGAAGAAGATGACGGTGGTGATGATGAAGAAGAAACTGTAGGAGAGTATTCTTCTTCAGAGGATACAAAAGAAGAATCAGATCCACTTGAAGATGGGGGAACTCCACCCCCTGATTTTGATGATCTAGTTGATGGCATGTTTACTGACAACATCAGTGAAGATGAGCACAGTAGTCAAGATCATGTGCCTTTGATTGCGTGGTTAAGGAGGATGCGTAAAGGTACTGAAGCTAAAAATCAAGATAAAGGCTCTGACAAGCATTCAAGTCTACCTATGTCTGCAGATGGCAAATCTACAATACACTCTAGCCCTGAGAGAGCAAAAGATGATGAAAGGCCAGCTGAACCTCAACCTCTTGCATATATCCTACCTGAAAATCTTAAGAAAGTAGGAATTACACACAACAAGAAGTCGAAGCTACGGCTGCCAAGTAATCCAGTTGAACAAAAAGATGCAGGTAATGTTGAAGCTACCTGCTGTAACATTTTATTTCCTTTTTCTTCCATCTTTGCTTATATCTTCTTTTATTTTATATGCAGGTGATGGTGCTGCCACAGCCACTTCGGTGCACAATGTTGGAGAAGGCTGCAGTTTCAAGGTTCTTGGTTCAGAAAATATTGTCTAACAAGAAACAGGCAGTGCAGCAAAGATGGATCCTCTGGATTTCACCCCTCTATACTTCAAGCTTTTTGATGAAGACAACATCTCTTCCACCAAATCTATAGGAGGTTTTGGTGGTGCTACATGCTCACTTGATGAGATACCAGAAGAAAAATTTTAGAAGTTAGAAGATGATGCCATCAAAGAGAATGAATCAAGAAAGAGGAAAGCACTGGTTGAGGAGCCTAGCAGTGGAAAACTTTCAGTTACACCTGCATATCAACCTCCACCTAAACGAGCTTTAAAAAGGCCAGCTACTTTGCGATCACCATATGTTGACTACACATCAAAGCTAGATTTCAAGTGCACCAAAGATGTTTGTGATGTCTATGATGTAGTGTGTGCCATGCAAGGTCTACTAGAGGAAGCCAACATACAGAATATGTGTTTATGCTTAAGCAATTTACTTATTGTGCCTTAGCAATTTTTCAATTGTAGCTTGGCAATTTAGTAAGTGACTTGACAACTTTTATTGTGTGGCTGCATGCAGTACCATATGTTGTTCCCTAACACATTCACACAAGCAATCTACGGTTCCCTAAATAACACAAATCTAGTAATAAGCACATTTATAGTAGCATGTCAGCAATAGAATTTGGAGGCACATACTAGCTAATTGTTCAGGACTCGTGGTAGGGGAAAGGAGAGATGGTCTATTGTGTCTGCTTGCCTGCAACACCTATAACACCCCAGGTGTTTGGCTTCCACATTTGCACTTGCATTTCATAAACATGGCATCATTCATCCATTCATGAGCTTATATTGCATGAAACATGCTTGTGAAACATTGCAACAAATTGTTATATTTCATGTGTGTTTGTTTTATGAAAAGAATAGTGTGCAACACTCAAGTGCAACATGTGTAATTCACTTTAGTGAAACATGGTTAGTAGTACTATGCAACACACTCATGAAACATATGACACATGGCCTTGAAACAAAAGTAACACTTCACTTGTTCTTCCTTGTTTCAATGCCTGTGATGCTTGATTTTGGTGTGACCAATGTGTGGTGTGGCTAATAATGCTCTTAAGCAACTTAGTTATACTTAGAATGTCATTAGGAACAAGGTTCATGTTGATCATTTTGCCTAATTAGGTTTCCAAGTCATGGTTTGACCAATTTGGACCCCTAGAGCTCCTGAGTTTGACTGTTTAAAAAGTGTAGCTTAGAGTGTTTGCATGTCTAAGCAACCTAAAGCAAAGTTGTAGAAAATTATATAAGGAACAAAAGTTAATTTATGACCATCTCATGAAAATGTGCAGAACATGCTCAAAAATGGTCCACAAGTTAGTTTTGAGGGCTATTTGGAAACTCAGAAAATTTCTAAGTCAAAAACCAGTTTTTAGTTTCATTGGCTCGACATTGGGGATGATTTTACTCATGATTCTTTGGGAATTAGGTCTTGGTCTTTTAATAGGAATTGTAGACTATATGTAGGGCTACAACTTTCATGTATATTGTTTTCACTGATTCTTCATGGTTTAGGATATCAAGCAATGTAAAGTGACGCTGTCAGGCTGATCGTTTTCACGGAATCGATGCTACAGTAGTCCGACCGGTTACAGAACTTCACCGCCACATGGCGCGCCGACGTCGCCGATGGCCTAACCGGCCAGGCCACGATTGGGCCTGAGCTCGGCAATTGAAGCCCCAGCACGCCACCGAGAGCCCCCCTATGCCACATTTTCCTTTGCTCCTCCGCTCGCCCGAAGCACAGCAGCAGAGCCGCAACGCCCCGCCATTGCTGTCGAGCCTGCTCGCCGCCGCAAGAACGTGAACCACAGCTCGACCACAGCTCCACCGTGTCCTCCTCTACCTCGTTGACCGCCTAGCCGAGCCATCCGTGCCTTAGGTGAGGGCCATTGGCCGTTTTTCCACCGCCGTCTCCGTGGCCGCGCCTCGCCGGAGCAGAGCTCACCGCGGCCACCCACCACCGAGACCTCCTCGTCCTCCTATCTCGACTTGGACAGCTCCGTAGTGACCTCGTGGAGCTCATACCGAGCTTGGATGAGGCAGCAAGGGCTCACCGTCGTTAGTACACCGCGCCGGAGCTTTGCCGTGCCGCCATCACCGGCGATGAGCCACCTCCGATGAGCCTCGGGTCTTGATGGTAGCACCAATCGACTCACCGCATCACGTAGATCACGTAGGTGTCCTCGGTGTCACCGGAGTTCTTGCCGTCGGCGAGCAAGACCACCGCCACGCCATCGAACGCCGCCGTCCCCTGTTTTCTTTCGCTGACCTATGGGGTCGTCTGACCCGAGGGCCCCGCTCGTCAGTGACCGTTGAGTAGAAGCTAGTTCAAATAATTCCAGTTTTAGTGCTATTTTGTGAAATGTATATCTCCAAATTGGTAGATCCAAATTGAGTACTTCCAATTTTGTTAGGATCATAGTGAAGTCTAGTATTTAGTAAAAATATGACATGAACACTTGTAGTGGAAAATTTGGATGAATTAAATTGAAACTTGAAATGTGTTTTTGAATGCATGCAAACTTGTTTACATCATATCTTAAGTTTCTGTGATCCAAAAATTGTGAAATTTTGTGGGTAAGCTAGTATTTCTTAGTAGAAGCTCTGGTTAAAATTTGAGAGACATTGCATGTGTAGTTTTTGAGTTATAGATTTTCCTTTTATCATTCGTAGATACTTGTGTGAATTTTTGTAAAATATCTAGGAATCCTATGGCCATGAAACTTGGTAGGTAGTATCTTAGTACCTTAAGGATGCTAGAAAAAATATGAAATCTGTTGCTTGACACTTTTCACTAAGGTTTCCTAATTATGCCATTTTCAGCCATTATGCCTTATCATTTTTGTGTAGGTTGTTATACTTACTCAAATGGTGTGAAATTTTTATGGCAGTCTACTTAGGGCATGTAGTGTCTACTGTAATTTTTGTAGATTTAATGGTGTAGTTTTCATATATGTTTACTATTTCCTTTAATTAATTAAATAAATTAAGAAAGGTATTAAAAGAAATGTTTTCGTGATGAACACCCTACTTTCTGGTGTTCTTGTGATATGAGTGATATGTGAGTAAATTTGGTTTTGTCCAATTAAGTGTTTATATCATAAGTTAATAATTATTTGTTTGCATTATGTCCTTCTGGACAGATCTGGGGACTTTGGAAAGTTCCCCATGATATTTTGGTTTTCTGTGATTGTGTTGAATACAAAAGTTATAGATAATTTATGTATCTAGCTTCTGTCAAAATTTGAGGGTATTTGGCCCAGTAGTTTAGAAACTACAACTGTTTAAAGTTAGGTTCCGGTTTTGCTTACTCTCTGCCTTGTGAGGACAGAGTTCTGTTGATTTATGAATTCAACTTGGTAAAGTGTTGAATCATGCTTTGAGGTCTAAAAATGAATTGTAGACAATTTCATAAGCTTTTCAGATTGTCTTGTTGCAAGTCATTTGGATTTATAAATCTCCAGTTATGGCTAGTTTACTGCACCGCTACATAGTCTTCATTTTGCTGAAATACAAATGCTTGAGTGTATGCTTGATGCAATGTTTCCGTTGATTGGTAGGGGTTAGCCTAACTTGAGAATATGCTTAGGTGCAGGTGCTAGGTCATTAATTGAAGATGAGCAATTATACATTATGTTGTATAAACTTGGTAAGTAAAGTGATTTGAATAGGGCTTAAGTTGGATTATGCAAACTACAGCGAACATGTGCATTCCCCGAGCATCCCTGACATTCATTCATGTGCATCCATGATATTTATCTTGCGCATTCATGCAATAGGTGTGCCGGAGGGAGTGACGTTGCTGGAGTTCGAGGGAGCCAACCAGGAGGAGGAACCCGAGGTGCAGGCGACCGAAGAAGCAGCCGCCGAGGAGGAGTTGCCCGAGTGCCCTGACCACCAGCCTTCCACGTTCCTGAAAGGCAAGCCTCGGAGCATATTAAGCCTCCCATGCTTTCACAAATACATTGAGTACCTTTTATTGTTGATGATGTATTAAGTATAGAAATTGGTTGGAACCAATTGCTGCATTATACATATCCTTCCTTGTCCAGATATCGCACTGGAATCCTATTAAGTTCAGGAACGGATTAAATGCTTAGCCATGCTTAGTGCGGTAGAAGTCAGGTGATTTCCTGTCACCTGCGAGCTTTAGGATGAGGTGGATCACGGTTGGCTATATTTGCTATCGTGGAAAAGAACCATGTGAATAATGAATTAAGACCGGATGGGGTCTTGTGTAGGTTTGAACATAGTGACTCCGTCTGAGTCATTTAAGGACCGATACGCTGTACGTCCTCATGTCATGTTGAACGTAGCCTAACACTTAGCTAGCCGGATAAGTCGTTCCGACCGCGAAGCCTAGTAGCTCGACTTAGGCCAGGGACGCGAGCAGTGACGTGCTTTCTGGAGGTAGTAAGGATGTGCGGAGAGCCATTGGCATAAATCCAAGGCGGGTTAGAGTCCCGAACAACCTTGGCAGAGTGGTTCTCTGAGAATGTCGATCTGTTCGGACTCGCGACTCCTGAATCGTAGCAAAGGTGACTTGTTTGCGACCCTGACGGGGGAAGCAGGGTTTGTGTTTAGGAATACCCCTCCAGCTGGATAGAAATCGATTTGAATCGCCGTCTCTCCCGGATAGTGAGAACTTGACTGAGCAGCGGGAACGTAGATTCAATTAATTTAACGATATGGTTAAATGGATGATGATGATAAGGTTGCCACAATGAATACATGATATGGTTATTAATGTTTGCACCCTAATAAAATGATTGCTTAGTACAGGTGCTAATATAGTTGACAGGTTAATGGCTAAAAGTCACTGCTAGTCAGGCTAAGAGTTGATCATTATTACTTATGCTTTTCTGCAAAAAGAAAGTGTCAGCCAGATCCACTACATTAAGCTATGCATAATCCTTGGTGTCATTTATTTTGGTTTTCGTCGGGTAAGTCTAGCTGAGTACATTCTCGTACTCAGGGTTTATTCCCTCTTATTGCAGATGACCTTCTATATCAGGGATTCTGTAAGTATTGTCTCCATCCGGCGGGTGACGAAGACTAGATCATGGGCATGATCGATGTTCTCTTATCTGAATGCTTTTGCGGGCTGTGATCAGCGAACCAGTATGTGTATTTGAACTCGGGTGTGTAAGTTAAACTATTTGTTTCCGCATGTTTTACAAGACTTGTTTTGTAATAACGATGACTCTGTGATGATGTAATCTATTTGCGAACGTCTGTGAAATGTTGTAACGTACAATATGTTATGTTGAATTACTGTGATCTTGGTTGTATGCAAGTTGGTTTGAAATCCTTCGAGATTTCAGTTGACTACCGGGTTTATATGGGCTCAAGTTCGGGAATTTGATCGTTTCGGCGATTGTTTTTGTACTTGTGCTCTTATAAATTGGTCGGTTCTGTGACAGCACCTACTGAAGATTTAGCTACTTATTAAGGTTCAATCTTTGTTCAATGTTTGCTAACTGTTGCAATGCATTCAGCTCATTTCCTTAGTAGTAGACTCTTATATAAATATTGAAGGTAGTGAAGGCAGCTGCTATAAATATTCAGAATACAATAAGTGGTAGCAGCAATAGAATTGCACACTTTGACAGCACTAGTACTGAAATACTTCTAGTGATCATTCAGTTCAGTTTTGCTTCACATTCAGAGTTGCTGAGCTATTGCTCGTGTGCGTGTGTGCACTCTGTTCTCACCCTTCCTTCTACATCTTGCCGTGAGTGAGTGTGGTGTGTGGTGTGGTTCTGGTGAGCTTGTTGCTCACCTGTGCATGGAGTCGAGGGCCAACAGGGATAGGATGGCACTGAATCTGAGCATCGCCAATGCCAATCCATCTCTCACATGTGAAAAAAACTAGCAGTACTATACTGACATGTGAAAAAAAAACTAGCACTACTAGCAGTACTATACTGATTTGAATGCAATATTATCCTCTCCCGCAGTTTTTTTCAGTCTAGCATTTATTTAGTTATGGCTAAGCAATTTATTTATTTTGCCCTAGCATTTTTTCAATTATATCTTGGCAGTCTTGCATCATTTTTCAGTTTAGTTGTGTGCCAATAGGGGAGGATGTGTTTCTGACAAGTTTATCAAATGATGGCATAGCATGGTCATGGGATCTCAACTGCATGTTTTTATGAATCTTAATGTCTATGGAACACTATTAGTTTAGTCCAGTGTGATTATGCATGCCCATTATATCATTTCTAGCATTTTTCAGTTCAAGCTAAGCAGTTTACTTATTGTGCCCTAGCAATTTTTCAATTGTAGCTTGGCAATTTAGTAGCTTAAGCAGTTTACTTATTTAGCATATATGTTGCTAAATTTCTCCATCACTTCGGTATACTTGGGTTTTATCTATTTCATCCCCGATTCCCCGGTTGATCTCAATCTTCCTCTGTCCCTGCCCTGCGCGACTCCATTGTACTGTACACGTTGGCACATGCTAGGATTCACTAATCTTTATGTGTTGCAGTCACGGCAACAATTATGGACCGATTAATGAACATGCTATTCCACAACGCTGTTTGTACTGTGGATTAGTAGTATATCTGAATCATAATGGGACCAAAATTCTGTCTGGGTAGATTAATCAACGCATTATCGTTACCGCTGCAGTTTTTTGTCAATGTCAGGGGTATATTATTATTAGTAGATCTCAATGCATGTGAGCATGCTTGTGGCATCAGTGACCCGGACTCTTGCTCCAAAAGCTGCTCGGTCTCTGCTGGGTCTTGCACGTCTTACCAGAGAAGTGAACAAACAGGGCACTGCTTACCAGAAAAAGAGAGGGAGGGTAGTGGGCCGTGGGGGGAGCCGAGCCCAGCCCCAGCCTTCTTTTGTATCGCTTTCTGAGATGTCCATTGCAATAGTATTTATTAGTTATGGCTAAGCAATTTATTTATTTTGCCCTAGCATTTATTCAGTTCAAGCTAAGCATTTTATTGATTACAGCCTACCAACTTTATCTGACATCATTTTTATTCTGTGGCTGCAGGACAATGATAATAAATTTCTAAGAGTTCTATGTCTTTCTGGAGCACCTTGCTGCATCAGTTAAACTAGGAGGCCACCTACATAACATTGTTGCAGACATAGCAATTCAAGTAATTGACAGAGCGAAAACCCACGGTAAGCCCACCAAGCGTGTGCTTCCATTACGAGTCGTGGTTAGATTCTATATACATTCCTGTTTAATATAGTACATGTTACAAGCGGTCAGATTCTATATACATTCTTGTTTAATATTTAGCTAACCGTAGACTTCTCCTTTTTCTTTAGCATTTCTTCATTCACAGTCAAGTATTTTACATCTGCCCATTACTAATTTTGTAACTGTCTTTTGGCATTTCTTTATTTTTTTGGCAGACATTTCTCCAATCGGGCCAGCTTGATACGAATCAGGTGACCCGCATATTAAGGCTTGCTGATAACAACCTTGACCACCGTCAGATGGTGTGTTCACATATGAATGTTTTCCTAAAATTCAGAATATTCAGATTTGTTGTGTTACTAACGAGATGTGAACAAAAACAACACATGTAATGTTCCCTGTGCTTGAGGCCATGCGAAACAATGGATCAGACACAACGGGACACTACTACTTGCTGGTTCTAAACCTAAGGGGAAAAAGATTTGAGGTAATAGACTCGATGAAGAGTTTGGAAGAAGAAAGGCTAAGAAAAAGCTACAACACTATCATGGAGGGCATTAAAACTTTATGGAGGAAATACTACCCAAACTCAAAAAAAGATATAGAGAACTACGAGGCTGTGGACATTGGTGTGCCAAAACAATCAAATAAGTAAGTTAAAAAATAAAACTGGTTTTTGTGCTGTAGATTCTATACACTGGCTAAATCTAATAAGTGTTGCACATTGTGTTATTGCAGTCATGATTGTGGATTTCATATGCTCATGCATGAATATACAACTTTAAGGAGAAAGATATTCCCAATATACGAAAGCTATTGACACACAAGTGGGGGACACACCCCGACAATGAAACAAATTGGAGGGACAAGTTAAAGCTGGGCCAGGTACGTGAGAATAAAAACTAGCAATTTAGTATGATGCACAAGGCATTTATGTATAAAAAAAGAAAACAATTATGATGTGCATTGCGGGTGTCTTATGGTAACGAACAAATAAAGTCTGAATATATACAGTACATAGGCAGAGAACCATTTTTAGAGAACACTATGTGTCAGACTTATGAAATAAAACCAAAAAAACAATTTAATAGCGAGCACACTTAATCTTTATCCTTATTTTGCAAATAAAAAATTTTAGCAACCATTTTTAGAGAACACTCTGTGTCAGACTTATGAAATAAAACCAAAAAAAAACAATCCAATAGTGAGCACACTTAATCTTTATCCTTATTTTGCAAATAAAAAAATTCAGCAACCATTTTTCATTAACTTAAGAAGATGACAGAACATATTATATTAGCTTAAGCACCATATCTGCAAATTAAAAAAATTATTCCTTAAAAACTAAGTCGTGAATCCTTCCTCCCCTTCATCACTTCTCCGCTTCGTCACTTCTCTTCAATACTTCTCTTTTTCCTGCACGTTGCTGCATTGTGTTCTATGGAGCCACAAACACTGCATCTGTTTGGCTTCCTTTTTTAATGCACTTCTAGTGCTAACTTCTTTCTCCTTGTCCTCATACGCCCTTTAGTCTTTGTAATGTCTGGATCCAAGACTATAGTATTTTCATGGGGAGCAGCCAATTCAACTATAAGACCTTGCCATACAGTTGTGTTTGAGACCACAGAGGCTTCACCATTTTGTTGTGAAAGATGCCATTGGCGTAGTTCTTGAGGTGGAGAGATAATAGAAGATGTAGAAGCTCCAAGAGTTGGTTGCTGCTGCTCAATAGCACAGCCATGCTGCTGAACCTGTTCAGAGCCTTGCTGCAGCACCTACTGTGCTGCTGTACCTTCTTCTTGTTCTTCCTTGCCTTTTTCAGAGCAACAAATTCCGCCTCTATTGCACGCCCATGAGTGATAGCAATCTCACACAACTCATCTAGCATACTACCCTGCTGAGAAATCTTTGCGAATAAGTGTGCAAGGTTTGCAAAGCGAACTGGTCTCTTAGATTTCTCTGGCATTGTAGCTATTTGACCACTAACTTGCAACACAGTTACAGATGTTGCATTCTCTTGCGGTATCCACCTTTGAAGAATGTAGAGGTCCAGGATTTTTTACCCCCTTGTCTGTCAACACTTTTAGAACATGGCAGCAAAAAATTCCATCCTTCTGGAATTTGCAACATTGACAGCTGATTACAGCATGCTCTTCATTGTAAGTAACCTTATGGCCTAGAGCCATATCCTCCAATAAAATCTTCAATAGGGCTCAACCGGTACACATTTGGATATATCTGTAGACAGACATATTGTGCCATCTTCTGAAGTTCAACGCGAAACTTGTAGTAAATGTTCCTTGTGTACACCTGAATAGCATGCTTCTCCAAAGGATACCTTGACCATGGTAGAGGCAACTTCTGGTCCGTCCTGTAGTCCTGCTTATCCTCCGCTACATCAGTCTTGTCCTGGATTTTCTTGTACTGGTGGACAAAATCAAGTATGGAGTTATGTGGATTCACATATTTCTTTAGGACAGCATTGAAGCTCTCGCTTCGCTGTGTCGACTGCAAGAATGGATAGAACCTGTCCAAGAAGTAGGAAGGAACCCAAAGATGCCTGATCTAAAACAAGTTGCAGAGGATTTCGTTTTCAGTAGCTCCATACTTTTCTATCATACCTTCCCACCTGCTCTCAAACTCTTCTGGACTTAGGCTATGGTTCACAATCTCATTGTACTCCTCCTCCAAGCCTTTTATTGATGAAAAGTACACACCAAGCCTTGATTCAATCTTTGAAATGATGTGCCAACGGCAGTATCGATGCCGGGTAGATACAAAAATAGCCCTTATCGCTGCTGCCATTGCCGAGTCCTGGTCTGTGAACAAATTGAGAGGCTCCAGCCCATTCATTGCTTCTAGAAAGGTTTGGAACAACCAACAATAGGAATCTGCAGTTTCATTTCTCAAGAAAGCACAGCCCACTTGAATTGATTGTGCATGTCTATTAATTGCTATGAATGGAGCAAAAGGCATCTTGTATATATTGGTGAGGTATGTGCTATCAAAAGAGATGCAGTCATTATAAGTCTTGTATGCTGCCCTTGCTGCACCATCTACCCAGAAAATATTCTCTACTTTGTCATCACCATCTAGCTTAACTTTGAAGAAGAAATCGTTGTCTTCCTTCTTCAACTCATTGAAGTAAGAAAGAGTTTTAGACATATCACTCCTAGCTGCATGTGCCCTTATCCCTACCCTTAAGTTGCTCACATGCTTCTCATGATAAGGTACAGAATGTGCAGATCCATACAGCTCAGACATGAGTTGCATCATCCGGCTCGTTTCCAAATTGCAATCATGCAAAAGTTTTAGGAACTCCACTTCCTCTTTTGGTATTCCGGCATGTGACCTTAGAAACTTAGCAAGCGATGGTTTGTCCACTAAGCTACGGTTGTGATCAGCAATAAATTGCTTCACAAACCACTTATTTCCATTGAACTTTATCAACATCCTTGCTCTACAGCTCGTGTACTTCATCTTCTCTCTTTTCCTCTTGATGTCTATGCACTTTTCCTTTCTCCCTTTAGGTTCATCCAAATCAGAACCACTACTTTGAGAGGTACCAAGCTCAACATCATCAACTTCGGTGATCTCTTCATCAACACCCTTGCTCTTTTTACCTTTGCCTTCCTTGTTGCACACAAACAAGACCTTGCCAAGTTCCATTGTAATGGCTGACCTCCTAGACGTTCCGGTTCTTATAGAGAAGCCCTTCCTTCTAGCATATTCATTGTAGCAAAGCCTAGCCTCTTTGATTGTATCAAACATCTTTCCAACATATGACTCATCGGGTGAAGAAATCACCGCTAGGAACTACAAGTCAACATCACCAACATCAGCCTCTATAGCTTCTATGAGACCAATAGCTGCCACTGGTTCAACTTCATCTCAGCAGTAGCTGCCTCTATGTGTGTGTCTTCCAAGGAGCATTGCAGTTCTAAAATTGTAGGCAGATCTAAGACTGCATCATAGGTACTAGGTACCTGTGTACAAAACATAGGATTTCTTGTCTCAACAACATCTTCAAAGATATCATATGCCTCTACAGGAAGTTCATTCAAATCCATAACCCTTTTCCCTGCACGTTTGAAACAAGCAATTACATGTTATCTTTCAAGCATTTTATTCCAAATTATTAGGCAACTACTAACAAAACTAATAGTACTTTCATAGGCAAATGACAATGCATTCCAAACAATCAGTCCATAACAATCAATAGGCTTACCCTCCATAATTTTCTAATTTCTTTGTTCCTTTTTCATTTGTGATTGTTACTGACAATGTGTAATGTGTACATAAAAAAGAGAAACTTCATTGAAGGGAGAATCATTTCAGCTTATCACATGCTTAGGTTACATTTTGTACTGTGCATGATATCTGAAACTCGATTTGATTCTAAACTTATTAGTGTTTAGCATTTGATAAGATGAATAATCATCTTGCTCGATTGTGCATTTGTGGTCGCAATACACATATGCTGCTGAACCTGGCACTTTTTGTCACATGTATGCTGCTGCAACTTGCAACGCTTGTATGATGCTGAAAGTATTCAGCTTTGGTCACACAAATGCTGTTGTAACAAGCACTATTTGCTCACTGTTATGCTACTAGAAAATGTCATGCATATGTGTTGCCAAAAAAAGAACTGTTGCTCACATTTGTGATGTTTGGGACACCTTACTGGTGACATGTTTCTTGACCTCTAGTTAAGTTTCTCTTAGTTACAATCCAATCCTTTCCCATGTATTGCAGATAGGTTATTATTAGACAATTTTCTGATTCTTATAATAGATAATTTTCTGATTCTTGTCTCGTTAGTGTTGTGTTTCATGGAAATGGTAATGCAGTACATATGAGGGGCGATGCATGGCTAGTATTTTATGTTACATTTGCCAACTTGAATTTGCAAACAAGAAGTGATTATGTAAATTGTTGGGCAGCTGGTATAATTCTATTTAGCTCTAATATGCTCTTTTTTCCTGCATGTTGGACAACAATGTGAAGGCACCGGCAAATGATATGAAGACATGTGAAAATCTGTGAATATCTAGCAATGTGAAGGCACCAGCAAATGATATAAAGACATGTGAAAATCTGTGAATATCTATCAATCTGTAACTACCTACCAATCTGTGACTTCCTAGTAATTTGTGAAGATATATAGACAACTAGCAATCTATTACTTTCTGAATGTGTTGAAAATACCCATCACATGGTATGATGGAAGGAAAGCAGTAAGAATTGAAAAGGGAAGAACCTTGGGAGGAGATAAGAACATGCATTAATCTGACTTGAAATACATGTTACTGTTGATACTTTGCCTGAATAAATGCTTCAATCTTGGATGTATGTGATTTTCTTCATGATCTTGGGTTTTGTGATTTCCTGGGAGATTTTCTTGATTTTGTTGAGATCCAATCTGGGAGTGGTTACGGTGGGGGAGAAATTGCTTGCAGGACAAGAAGATGTTGGGCATGCTTTTTAGGGTGGGACGCGTCTGCATAGAAGGGAAGGAGCGTCCGGCGGCATGCGTCTGCAGAGAAGGGAAGGCGCGCACGCGAGGAGCCCTCCCCGCCCCTGTTTCCCTTTTTGGAACAATAGTAAAATTCTTTCCTAAAATAGAGTGTGCAATCGGATGGGGGTTTTCCTGCACGCCCAGGCAGTAGTCAAATTCAACAATTTAAATCTTGCAAAACATACTCCCTCCGTCATGAAATATAGCGTATTTTTATTTGTTCTAAATCTAACTACCTCATGTTTAACTAAAATTACAGAGAAACATATTAACTTCTACCACATCAAAAAAGGTAAGTTATAAAAATGCATTCCATAATGTTTCTAATGAAGTTTATATGATGTCTACTGTTGTACTTTTCTAAAAATTTGGTCAAGCTTGAGATGAGTTGACTTAGGACAAATGAAAATACACTATATTTCATGATGGAGGGAGTAATTCATATTCTTGTTTCTACACAAGAAGCAAAATAACGTTATGTGAAATAAAATGATGTTTCTTTTTTTATGTGCTGATATCTAGCTAGTAGGGCCTATACGAGTTGGCACAAATCAGATAGCTAGATTGTTCATTTTGTCCAAACTAGAAAAGGCTGCAGCCATATCCAACTTTTGAGACAAGCTGTCACATGTGTTCATACTAAAGATCAAATATAAGGTAGTTACATGACACTTGTGTTATCGTCAAAATCACTTGAACTTCTACTTAGCATGAGTCATCAATGTAGATTAATTATAACAGATATCATGAACATATCCTAGTAAATAAAGATCAAAATGAGACCATACATATCATTATAGTCTATGCATCATAATATAGAGCATGATTTTATAGAAAATCTAAAAGTGGTTTCATTTTTTTTTTCTAAGCTAAAATCAATTTCCTATGGATTTTCTAAGATTAAACTAGATTTTAGGATTTTAAATTTCATATTTTTTTCAAAACAAAATATTTGGGATTTTTTTTAAAAATATTTTGTAACTTTTTCGGTACAGTCTATTTGACCTCCTAAACTATCTCAACATATACCGATTTACTTCTCTCACGGCTGTTGTCGCACCACGTTTGACTAAACTGCCTTGAAAACCACACAAAGAAGAAAAACATCTGATTTTTTAGTTAACTAAGTAAATTGGATCATAACAATAGTAGTTGAGAAAGGTTAGGAAGATTTTTTCTAGATCCAGTTTAACTGACGACAAAGGGCGTGTTCAGCTGGTTGGTTGGCTGGCTGGTGCTGGCCAGCCCACTCACGCGGGCACTGTTCACATGACCAGTGTCTTTCAGTCAGAACAGTATTTTTCTCTCACAACAACCCAGCCGGAACAGTATTTTAGCTTATTCAACCAGCCTGCCGAACACTCCCAAAGACAAGAAGCCCAGTCTCAAGAGGTCCAACACCAAATAACCTGCCATCCCATCTTAACATGGTTTGGTCCCAATTAAACCACAGTGGATCTGGTGCTCCAGATTTGCATTTTCAAATGTTCATCTCTCCTAACAGGCCCGATGGATGATACAAAACTAGGCAACCTGTGGCCAAATAGGAGAAGTTATTGTACAAACCGTTGATCACTGATCCGGTGATGCCTCCGAGATGACAGGGCAATATGCATGCCTACCACTTTAGCGTGTTATTCACCATTACTGCTGAGCTATTTTCATGTAGTGGGAGTAAATGGTGCCAATATTTTGTTATGGGGTTAATAAGTCGTTTGTTTGACACAAATCGAGCTAGTAAAATGGACTTCGCCATTACTGTTCAGCTTTTTTTTCATGTAGTGGGAGTAAATAGTGACAACATTTTGTTATGGGGTTAATAAGTTGGTTGCTGTTGATACAAATCGAGGCACAAACTGTCATACTTTGGCAACATTGGTTAGCTACATCGTATTACATGTGCATAGGTAACTCACTCAGATCACAAACAACTAACTGGCGGGCTTTGTTGTCAAGAAAAAAAAAACTAACTGACGGGCTTTACGCCGAATGTAGCCCATGCAAACTACTGTATGTAAACTTTGACTGCATACATGTCTCGCATATTGAGATCAAACATCTGGATAGAGATGGAACATCTGGACAGACATATTCGCTCGACAGATCGAAACACTTTTGACTGGACGCCGGCCATCCTCACAATCCATCGTATTCAAATATAAGCAATCATCATGTAGGAACACGGAAAAGAAATTAATAATTAGCCCTGCATTCGCTGCACTGCACAGAGCACAGATGGACCGGACACAGGAGCAGATTAAACAAGGTTTCCAGCGCATATAAACCATCTAGGATCACGCTGAGGAATTGTCACCGACACAAGAACAAAGCGAAAGGGAAGAAGCTCTAGTGCGAGACATGGAGACAGAGAGACATCGATCAGAGGCGAGCACACGCGCATACTGCGTATAATCACAGCCACATTGACGACCAGATGGGCAGATGGCGGTGCTCGTGCAGTGCAAATGCAAAAGAAACACAGAAAAGGTTTACTACAAGACAAAGTGATTGCTGAGTAGCCACGCGCGAACTACAATTACTGCGACTACACTGTTATTCCTGCTGTTCCTGCCCCCGATCCCGCTGCCACAGCCCAGAGGTTAGCAGCTGTGATTGATTGGTCTGGTCAGGGTCCCATGCGGCCGGCGGCGATGCAGCCGGTGGTGGTGGTCGCCGATCACGGGTGCGGGACGTGCCGGCTATTGGCGCTGGGGAAGCCGTAGTCCTCGGTTGACTCCATCGCCACCCTCTCCAGCACCACGTCTCCGTCGCCTTCGTCCTCCTCTGCCGCCGCCGCCGTCGAGGCCGTGGAGTGCCCGCGCGCCACCACCTCCTGGACACGTGCAGCATTGTTATTCAGTTAACCAGAATCATCGGTTTAGGCACGTCCTGTTTAATCGATCAGCAGATGAACGAGCTATTGACAAAAAAAAGCAACCCTATGATTGTTTATAGAGTTGTAATCTTGTTAGTTGAGAAATCTGCTTTCACAAAAAATGGCAGCTTACCAGCTGCCATTATATAGGAAAATAAAAAAACTGTATGATACTTACGATTGCACATCATGCTATTGTCTCCGGCCGGCGGCCAGACGCATATCCATTCCTTTGATCTAGTATCAATCAAATCGCATTGGCAACTGATCTTACCTTTGCATTTGAACACTAATAGCTAACGGGTTTCGAAAGCTATGTAAAAAGGGCAGGCAACATTTGAAGCTTCATTTTGGGGGTGAATCACTGACCTGTGCTAGAGCATTCTCCAGTGCGGTCGCCACGCCATGCTCCGACTCCGAGGCAGCAGCAGCACCCGCTGCAAAGAGAAGAGAACACAGAGACCAAGCCGTTCAAATCAAAGTCGGGAAGGACCCCCAATCCGGAACTGGCCGACGTGGGACACCCAGGAACACATACCGAGAGGAGCCGAAGGCGCGGCCACGGCGTCGGCGCGAGCGAGGCAGAGCGAGAGCAGGAGCAGCACCGCGACGAGGCGGAGGACGCCGCCGCCGCCGCTCCCGTGCCTGCTTTGTTGCCGCTGTTGCGCCATCACAAAATAGGAAGCGTCGAACCTCCCGTAGGAGACCGCACCTTTGTTATAGGATTTTTCCCCCCTACTCTTCTATCTATACTTATACCGTCTTAAAACTATATTTACAATAATTTTTTCAGTATAATTTTATTGGGAATAACATAAATATATATTAATTTTTTCAAAAAAAAATTACAAATTATTTCTATGGATTCCAGACATCAGAGAAATATATGTCAAATTGTTCATAAATTCTTCATAAATTTAAAAAAAATACAAAATCTTCACAAAATTTCGAAATGTCGTGCCACGCTGCCGCCACTGACGCCGAGGAAGGCGAGCGCCCAAATTTCTCATTTGGTACTCGAGACATGGTATCGCCACATGTGTTATTTTTGCCACGCCTTCTTGCGTCGGCATGAGTTGCTACAACTGCTTCATCATCATTGGCGATGAGGTCGTGGCGGGGAGGCCGGCGCATGGGCCGTACCCCGGGCTGCACACGTACCGTGGCATCTGTAAGCAGCAAGTCCACCCAGAGATGAGAAACGCAATTCAGATCCAACACTCGAAGGGCTAGGACGGCGTGACGCTGTATCGAGCGGCAGCTCTCGGGCCGGAGTCAAGATCCAACGCTGAAAAATTCGGTTGACAGTGACAAGTAGATCATGCTGTTGATGTATAGCGTTTCCGTTGTTATATAGGCAGGAAATTGCCTCTTGCGTGAGCCCGGATTTGTTGAGATCTAAGGATAACTACAAAACAACTAACAACCTATACAAGATATGCTACAGGTAACAACGGATCCTCATCTCACGGTACAAGTTTGTTAACAGTGAGGCCGTGAGGTGAAGCTTTGACCTGCGACTGCGCACAGTGAGGCGAATTTATTAAAGCTGGCGGCGTCTAATTTAATCCATCAATTATGTCTCTGTGTCTGTGTCTTTGCTGTGTTTAGTCTGTGAAATAAAAAAAATTTAGATGTCATATCGGATGTTTTAGAAATGTTATGGCTAATCAAAAAACTAATTAATCTAATCACGGAGACCGTGAGGCAATTTTCTAATTAATCCATCATTAGTCGTGATTTTCAAGCATTTATGAAAATCTAATTGTAAAATTAGTTTGATTTTCAACAAAACTGTGTAATTAGTTTGTTTTGTTTATATTTAATACTCTATGTGTGCTGCAACATTCGGTGTGATGGTTTGGAGTGAAAAATTTTAGGTAAAGCAGGCGTTTGTCTGGCGGTGCGCGCTGCGGCAGCAGTACACCAGTACCACGGTTGGTCTGACGAGAACGAGATCCTCTGCGTCTCCCAGGAAAGGCCTCCTCGTCCTTCCAGCGGAAAGGACATGATGGATTCTCGTCGGAAACCGGCTCCAACGGCCACTGACCGCAGCGTTCACGTTTCGGTCGCGGACGCAGAGGATCCGCCCGGCCACGGCGTTGCGACTGCGGCGACCGCGCTCACACGGTCACGCCCAGCGGGTCAACCACCGCATTATTCTGCTCCGCGAAACCCTGCTGCCCGGCTTGGACTTTTGTTCGCGAGCACCAGCCTGAGATTCTTCTTCCCGATGCATCGCCGGGGCTGGGCACATCGATCACGATTATGCAGTGTTTCGTTAGGCTGTTTCCAGGACTGTCGTCTGAAATAAAATGAAACTTCGATGAAACACATATTCTCAATGCAAAGTTTATTTTATAGTTTTATATGCATTTAATTCTATGACTTATAGGGAATTACTAATCATGTTAAAAGAGTTTTATTCCCATTAAACTCACTTCCTCTCTCTTCATTAAAGCGTGTATTCATCATTACTGTTCAGCTATTTTCACATAGTGGGAGTAAATAGTGCCAACATTTCGTTATGGGGTTAAGGGCGTGTCGGCACAAAAACGTGTTGACACGCAGCAAGCGGGAAGATCTGCTTGGGATGAGCCTAGAGATCCGCTTGGCTTCCACGCAGGACCAGCTGATCTTGCGAATTCTCGAAGGCGTGCCAGTCAATTTGACCTGCAATTGACAAATGAGAGAAAATTTATCAGTAATTTAAGGTGAAACATGCTGGTTTTGCTCAGACAGTTCCAAGTATGCCGCTTCGGGAGCAGCCATACGGGAAAATCGACTAAATAGCCAATACGAGAAGAAATCGACTGTTAAGGACTGTAAAGCTCGCGGGTAATGATTGATTTTAAAGTAATGAATGCAACATCCCCAGATATAAGTAACATCATCAGCTACATAAATATAACCGGTGTTAAGCATTGAGCCGATAAGTTTAACGAGAAAGGATATAACATACGAACAAAATCGACTGTTTATTACAATTGGATCTACAAATGCTCTAAATCTAATCTGCTACCATCAACAGTGAGGTTCGACCGGATCGATGCAGCTATGATGATAATAACAAACTAAAGCCAAAGAATCCATGAAACTATCTATACGTTGACAGGTTTTCTGAAAGACATGCTATATGTGTGAAAGCACAGACGAATCGGGTGAAATAGCCGATTCATGTAGAAAAAGGATTATAGCATGAGAACAATCGACTATTTAATACGAACAGATTTATAAACTCATCAAATCTAATCTATTATCTTAACAGTGGGGTTCGACCAGATCGATGGCAGCCATAATAAAGATAACAGATTAAACCTTTTAAAGCAAACAGATCTATTCATATTTAACAGAATTATGAAGACACACTATGAGCGTTAAAGTACGAGCAATCGGCTATTTAGCCGATGCAGGCATAGCAAACAGTCAAGGTCACGCCAGATCGAAAGCAAGCCTACCAGCTAGCATACTCTGATCTAAAGTGCCATTAGTGGATATCGACGAATCGTTACAACCATAATAGCGAGCTATGGACCAGATTCAACTGACCAGCAAACCTCCTAAAGATCAGACATACCTTAACCGCGTGTACTATGCATGATCAAGATCGAAGTAGGACAACCGATGAAATATAATCTGTCGTTTAAAGTAAGAACCATCGCAATGGGACAAGATAAACGAGGGACTAAAAGGATGTGAGGCCGATTTAGTTCGATCTCGATTGGGTAGGTCGATATTACTGAAACTAATGATAATAATGACATTAGCAAAATCGGTAACTTAATGAATCTACCCGAAGGATGCCACCCTTAGGTAGAGCCGATAACTTGACCTTAATCTAATTCGAGCAGTGGAGGTCGAACTTCACCGATACAGCCATACTTGAACTAGATAAGGATCGATAACTAGTTTATACTAGAGCTCGCAAGAGGTCGGCCGGACCGATGCAGCCTTACAAACAGAAGTATAAGCCATAACGATACTTACAGACAAGCCGGAGGTCGGTCGGACCGATGCAGCCCTGCTTGTTGAAGAACTAGTCGAGATCTACAGTACTCCTACTCCTAAGGGTTGGCGTAAAGCCAAAAAAAATAATTGATATTGATTGATTGGATGATCTTTTATAATAGCCGGGGTCCAATATTTATACCCAGAATCTAAATATGAATCCTATTCAAACATGACTCATTACGATCTTTGAAATAAAAGAAAATATTTCTAACTTAAGATAACTTGGACCCTAATCTTTTTCTTTTTGTAGAGTCCGACATATTTTTCTCGACGCCAACTGTAGCTCGTTGATGTTATCTGCTGATGTCATCCCAAGAGAGCCAATTTCAGTTCCGCATCTGAATTAACTGATATCGATCCTTATTCAATCGATCCTTGATGACACAATCTTGGAAGCTTCGACTTCTCGCGTTCTTCTTCCCAAATTTTGGTGTAAACACATACCCCTCCAATTTTGGCATAAAAATAATTTTATTCCAAAATTTCTATTTACCTGCTCACCATGTCGCAACCGTTTATTCCGAGATATACACGTGACTCTTGATATTCATGGTCCGAATTTTATATAATACCCCAACAATATCATTTCCGATTCATTTGGCCCATCTACTTTCCCCTTCTTCTTTGAGCGAGCCTCAACAACCAAAGCCGCCGTTACTAGAGCTCCAACCCTAGCAATTTTCCCTCTGCTCGAGCTGCCCGTCAAGTCATTCCTCTGCAACCTTTTCTGGATTTAGATCTATTCCAACTAAAATGGCGACCAGTGACTACATTCCTAAGGTACGTCATCAAATTTCCGCCCTTCAACTATCAGCCGCTTGCTCTGTATTTCTTCCTTAAGTTTATCTCATCTGGCTTTCTAGGGGATGGAAAATGAAATTCTGATCCCTTCGTCTATTGTCCCAATTGCTTATTACCTTGGACCCATAGGAGATGCTAATCCTTCAGATTTTATCAGCCAAGAAACCAATCAAATTTCTTTTAGGCGGTCCTTGGTAGATCTATCTTCTTGGAACACCAAAAACCCCTTTAGCAATTGGCCCAAAATGCCCAATGGATGAAGAGATTGGTTTCGTAGAGTGTCAGACAAAAAGGGCGGAGACTGAAAAGTTAACGATTTAAACCAATGCCTGACCCTTTCATTGTCTGGAATGGAGAGAAATGATTCACTCCTAATTGTCGCTTCTTACTTCTGGTCCAACACTTTGAATACTTTCATCTTTGGTCACGACCCAATGACTATTACCTTGGCCGATGTTTATATGTTGACTGGCCTTAGAATAACAGGACCAATGCAGCCATATGAACTCTTAGGTGCTGGGTCAAAGAAATTGGTTAAAATATCGGATTGCATAGGATGGGCAAGCTACATTTAGAACCACATCAGGAATGAATCGACTGTTAGCAAAAGAGAACATATGGCTAGAAAGATTCATCTTCTGTGAGTCATCTTGTGGTCTAACTTATAATCATAAACTCATGGCAGAGCATCTAGCAGTAGATGTTGAGATTCCTCTTGGAAAGTATCTGTTGGGATCAGCTTACCATTTGATGCATCAGGTGACCGCTCAGCTGCTGAAGAATGAAGCAGTGCACACTATCATCGGCCTTTGGAGGTTGATACAGATGTGGTTAAATTTGTATATGCATAAGATTGTAA